GGTACAAAGTTTTACCCAAGTTCGACAAGTTATACAACACACAAAGAAGACAGTGCAGAGTTCATTTTATTTCTTGAACAATTTTGTCACAAAATTCAAACTTAAATATAGGAATTTGTTCAGTTAGTATGTTTAACAATATATTAATTTTTAAAAATAATTTAAGGTTTACTTACACCAGTTATATGAATATTTTCAAATACTTTTAAGTTTTAAGATGAAAATTGTTCATACTAGAAAAATTTCACATTGAAGTATTTTCATGCAATAAAAAATGATTGTGTTCAATTAATTAAAAATAATTATTAATTTATTTATAATATTAAGTATTAACTAGAACAATTTTAAATAAAAAATTCCCCCCCCCCCCACAAAAAAAAAAAAACTTAAATATCAACGATTCGTGGTGTTTATCCTGTGTTGACATACATAAGAGTATAAAATAGAATAATTATTATTTCAATCTCGTAGGTGATACTAATTAACTAGTGACCACTGATAACTATTCAGAAAATATTTTATTATTCTGCGAATGTAATAATTAATGCTTAAATCACTCAGTCATTGTTTTAATTATAATATTACTAACAGAAAATATGACGTAGGGAAAATACGTTATGTTCAGTTCAGTTCTCAATGATATAAGTACTATGTTCCCAAGTATGAATGAGGACACTTTTTTAGAAAAACCAAATTAGTTATAACATTGATTTTTCTTAAAATACATTTTATCTATTGAAATTTGAAATTTATAGGTCAAACAATGGGTGATCTCTGTACGAAAAATACAATTAGTATAATCAATATAATATAACTAACATTTTTATGTCACTTTATAGTTAATGAATTATTATTTGATAAAGTATAATGGTAACTAGAATTTATATTATATGTTAATCTTTTTATTATTGTGGTGTATGTAATACGTAATAAAGGTACATGTTATGAAAATTCAAAATAATAAAAATAAAATATGTTAAGTACTTATCTTATTAACTTATCTTGAATAATATAATAAAAACGATATTATGTATTTGGAAATGAAGCACTTTATAATAAAATAACGTTTGCTATATTTTCATGAAAATAAAATATTATTATTATTATTATTATTATTATTATGACCTACTGTTTCAATTGCATTTAATTTATATTTATTTAACTTCAATTTTCAACTGCATTGAATATTATATTTTCATTTTTTTTTTATAAAGTTGCTCAACTGTTGTTAAATTTGACACGCGTTATCATACATAATGTATTCTTGACATAAAAGGGTAATACTATTTTAATAACTATTTACTCAAAACTTTATTGGTGTGGCTGATTCACACACAAGCTGGCCTATTTGTTATTTATTATTTTCAGTCTGTGTACTATTTTAACTATAAATGTTTTTCTTCTATATTTTATTGTAATATTCACTTATATATAAAATATACAATTCTGTTTTTATAACTCGGTCGTTTTATTGAATCTAAACAGTATTAACAAAAATAATATTTTGATTACAATCATATGTGCATATTTTTTTTGTTTTCGTTTATGACAGTAAAAATATTCTATTTTTAATAACTAACATACATTCGTATAATTTATAAAATACTAAAACAGATATAGTTAAGTACGATGGTTATTTGATAGATACGTACTTTAGCAGGTACACTTTATAGACATTAATTTCATTTGTGTTCGTTTTATAAGAATCTAATGTTAAATTTTAAACATATACGAATTTTGTCCGATTACTTTTTAAGCACCTTATTAATTTTTATGTAATTGTTCGTTAATAATTGTTAGGATAATAGCTGCATTGAGTCATTATTTTTTTTATACCTGCATTACACGCATTTCCCTAAATATATTACAATCTTTAGGTATAAAGACTATTGGGTTGTATCTAAAGTGAGTCTATTATTTTAACTATCTTTCCAATTTACAATGAACATGATATAATATATAATGAAAGCCGATAAAATGCAATAGCAATGTAAGTCTAATTAAATTGATAATTCCCTCAAAGTGCAATAATAAAAACAATTATCATTATATTTTTTTACTCTCAGTTTCAATAAATGAACCATAAGGTAGAATTTAATATTCATACCACATACATGGACCGCATTAGTTGAAGAGATGTATTATCATGATATTAATAATGAATTAAAATCGTAATACCAAATAAAATTTAGATTTAGATTTTATATATTTATGCAAGTCAAAAACGTCACGGTGATTTAACTGAAGGACTGTACACAGAAGAAGTCTAGCACAAGACATTGTGCCTTTATCATCACTAAATAAGTGAGCAAGTTACTCACGTTCTACTGTACAGTAGGTGTTTAAAGGAGTCACTGTAATAGATGTGTTCAATTTGAATTCAAGGCTATGAAATCATTATATACGAAAAACGATTCAGAACAAACACAATCTGTCAACCTATAATATTGCTAAGTATATTGTTGTGAAGTATTTTATTTTACTATTAGGCATAAGTATTACAGTAGGTTAAGTTAATTTTTGCCGAAAAAATGTGCATAGAATAAAGAAGGTTTTAAGCATCCTCGAATAATATTTTTTAATTACAACAATATAACTAAAATCGTTATTCTCTGTTTAAATATATGATTTCGTCCAAATTTGAAACTCTAATTCTTATAAAAAAAAAAACAGTATTATGTACTTTTTAAGAATTTTAAATACTTCTTAAAAGAATCGTATTTATGTGTCTTTAATATTTCTCAACTGCTTTGTAAAAACGCATGGGAAATTGTGCAGCATTCTATTCAACCTTTCAAGCATTTCGACCAAAAAAAATATTTTGTATTGATATTTGTAGAAAAAAAAAATTAAATAAATTTAAAATTTAAAACTCCTATAATTAGAACAAAACGAGTTGAAATATTATATATAGATCGAAATCTATATAAAATGGTAAAATAAACATTAACAAAAATATTTTTCTTTATTAATTTTTTCGTATTTTTCTGACGCTTTTGAAAACTACTAGGTAGGAAGTTTCAATTTTGACCTCTCCAATGCACCAACTAGATTCACTTTGAAACCAGAAAAGTTACTAAAGTTGAAAATCGAAGGATTATTTCGACTACTTATCATGTACACACACACACACAAAAGTAAAAACACACATAATTGAAAAATTAATACATTCATCGCTTCGTTCAAAATCTGAAATATATAATAATAAAATATTAAATATAATAGATGTACAATATTGAACGTTGAAAGGTAAATCGCAACGTAAACAATCGAATTGAATTTATAAATTACAAAAATCTAATTTTCTATTTCAAACAAATGTAGTAAGTTGTCAAGTATAGTTTGTAGTTTATCGTGAATTGTACATAAAATAATACCTATCTATACAATAATATAATTTATATATATATATTTATTTATTATATTTCTATACGTTTTGTACACCATTTAATATATTATATATCTTATACAATGTCAGTACGACCCGTATGATATTTGTCTTTTGTGATGGAGTAAAATAAAGTTGCTTCCCTGCGTTGTGTGTATATAATAATATATATGGTTCGGCGTGTGCAATGATCGTTGAGAAATTCGCCGAGTCAATTTCTACACGATAATAGACCAGACCGGAACACATTTATCTTGAACGTCAGTGGCCAGGATACGTTTTTAACGTAACTTTACTGTGAAAAACAACATTTCCCGATATTATGTTATTGCTGCGCAGACCCAAAACGGAATTATTTCGCTTTGTGTGTGCACGGCTGCAGTAATCGTATAGGTAACGAAATACCAAACAATATCGGCACGGTCCCGGTTTTGATAGACAAATCCCACCCCCGACAGATGACGGTCAAATGCATTACGTGTTTTATTATTATTATTATTATTATTATTATTATTGCTGTGATGTAGTACGTAATTGCGGTATTGGTGCACTTCTGACTTCCGAAACATTGTTCACCGTAGCTTGACCGTATCGAATTTCTGGCAGTTATTAAACGCTTATATATCCATGACAGTCGACCTGAGTATACGCTTTCGACAAGTATTTCCCCTCTCTCATTCCCGCATTGGTCCGTGTTTCCCGTGATAGGTATAATAATATTATTATTATGATATTGTTTTGTAATAGAACAATAATTTCGATCACGCGGCGTCTTGGATATGCAATTTAGCTACACCACTGTCGTGGTTTATTTTGAACGGAATGATGTTATTATTACTATTATTGTTTTATTATTATTGCTATCATCGTCGTGATGATTATAAGAATAATATTAAAATTTTATGTTGTATGAATTATTATTCATTAAAAAAAAAATTATGATAATTTAAATTTCAAATAATTTGAATTTGTCAGGTACCCTTTCAAAAGTATGTTCCTTAGGTAATTTATAATAATCGTTAAATCACATCGAAGTCTGATTTAAATTACGAAAATTCATAAAAGGTAAAAATAATGATATGCCGTATGATGTATATTAATATGTTTATGTATAACGACTAAATACAATTTTTACGAACCATGAACGAAGTAGTTAGTTAGAAATCGTTTTAATTATTGATTGAAAAAATACAATTTAAGGTTGAAAAGTGTATGCAAATGTATTGCAAATACCTCGTATTTATCAAATCTTATTGAATTTGATCATCTGCTCTCGGTGTATTTCATATTTTATTATAGATTCTGCAATAACTTGTTCGCACAATATAAACGTCCATATTCGTTATTAAATTGACAGTGATTACAGTTGTTTAACCGTCCAATGATTTTTCTGCGAAGGCTTCTAGGCTAAACGACTGAGCATTAACACAAATATTTTACACCCAAAAATTAATGTGAACTAGAACTATATCAAATATGGTGATAAATTATACTAAACTGAAAGCAACAATTACAAATACTTGTATTAACCACGAAAAAAGTATTTAAATACTGGTTTTTTGATTACCACCGGACTTAATTTTATTTTACTATTTTGTATTTATTATTTCAGGAGCTACCCGTTGGTTCATTCTCGCGTCGATATCAACCGCTTGAAGGACACTTCCTACGAAGTGATCATCAGTGTGCTGATCAACGACGACGACATCACCACTCAATCCACCTTGGACTGCGAACTCAAAATCCCGGACACCCCATACGTCAAGAGAAAGACTTTTGTTTTCTTCCAAGGTAGGTGTATTATTTTTGTTTCTCTAGTCGGGCTGCACGCGAGACGTATGCTAAAAACGAATCGACCCCGAAAAACAGTCTCTCGTCTACAACAATATGGATAATTATAAAATAATAATATTAGTTATTATTATTATTGTCATACTATTCCGCCGCAGTCATCGCGAACACTCCATCAAACGATTATTATTGTGGACGGTATTGTTGTAATACGACAGTCGAATGTACGAACGCAGCGTGCACCGGACGCCTGTCGAAAGACTCGTTTGTTTTTGAATTTTAACGGTCGGCCGAACTCTTATTACTAATAACTATAACTTTAACTTATTGCTATTATTATTATTATTATTATTATTATTATTATTATCATTATACGTACGCAGTGCTCGTACAATGGAGGTCGGGTCGCACGCGAAAAAGAAGAATCGTAGTTATAAGAAAAAAAGTTAGCTCCTATATTATATTGCGCGTACCCATATAATATGACGTGCGTTTGTGTGTGGGTGCGAGCGGTATATCGGGTCCGAACGACGTGCGGGCCGTGCAGGCGGGTGGGCGGACGTTGAATCGTTGACGTGTAAAATTGCACGGAATGCATGCGCTCGCATGAAAGAATAATAATAATAATAATGGTAATAATATTACCGTTACCTTTATAATATTATATAATATTGGGCAGGTATGGGTTGTCAGGAGGTAGGTGGGGGGTGGGTATATATCATATAAAATTATTATTATATTTTTATCGCGGGTCGCCACAGTTTGCGGTATACTGCACCTGCACAAGCCGGGGACGATACACCTACGCACGATGTATATTATTATATAATGTTTGTTTTTATAAAAGATCTAAACGCGTGTACCGTTGCAGGTAGTAATCGTACTATAATTCTATACAAGTGCGCACATATAATATACCTGACCTCTATACCACACCGTCTGTTGAAATAATATTATTATGTGACATGCACACAATGTTGAATTATATAGAAGATATAAAGTTTGATCGTGTTTTCCGTTGCATGCCCGTGCACGCTGACCTCACAATATTTTGAACCAATTCCTGCCGAAACTTTGAAAACTATGTAAATCTATCGTTGGTTTATACGATATGAACACAAATTAACACAAATCAACGCTAAATTATTTAGTCAGTTTATTTATCACAGCGTCTTTAATATCTTCTCGGTCTGTGACGATGTCATATGCATCAATTATTAGGTGTGTAGTGCATGATTATTGATTATTGATTATATTATATCGTATGATAATGATTCATGGTAACGGCTGTGTGATCAAGTCACTGTTACTTTCGTTACAAGTAACACGCATGTTACTGCTGTTCATCGGGTTACAGTGAAATGTAGCAACGACTGCTACAACTTTTTACCATCGTCGCTCTAAATCCGGCTATTTCTCTTACATCAAATATAGGTATGTTTTAAGTAAGATACTTGTAGGGTATGTTGCCGGGAATATCAATTTATTTGTCTCTTAAAATCTACAAGCCAAACAAAACTTAAATTATCCTGCCCATATCTATAAATGAAAATTCTGCAGGAGTGGCCGTGAGGACGAATCTAGACTGTTGATTTAAACACGACAGGAGGAGCATAGTATTATCAAATTATTGGCCCGACCGCCAGACAGAGGGGAATTTAATAGGCAATAATAATTATTATAACAACAGTATTGTAATAATTTCGTCGCAGTTATTTTCTGAACACTCCGTTTCCGGTGTGACGTATAGTGCCCGCGACCCAGCTGGCGGATAGGATTTTTAGGAGTATCACTATGTGAGCGTTCTGAAACGCAAACGCATAATGTGTGATTTATGCATTATTTTTCACAGGGTCATCTGTCCGCAGCCCGGTGAAATCAGTGTAGCTGTATGATATTATTATAGGCTGCCGGAAATTGGGGTTTCTCCCTCGTGAAATTTCGCTGTTGGTGGTGCATAATAAAAATAAACGAAATCGTATTGAGGCTCCCGGTGCCAATGTAATTTTGTCCACATAAATACGCTCTACGGGAATGACGAACCTGGTCTGTAGAATCGACTAAATTTGACACGTTTTTTTTTTTTTAAATGAATATAGGGTAATATTCTACAGGTCTCACTGAAATTTATTTTTTAAATATTTTAACCCCAAAATGTATGACACGTCTTTAAAAATAATACAACTTTAAGTTTTAATTTACAAAGTATATTATATTATCATTATTTGAAAAAATAAAAATCTGATTGCGATGTTGCCTGCGTATGAAGTCTTTTTCTTCCTAAGCATTATTCCTGTGAAGTTAATTTTTTTTCAACGTCATATCAATCACTGGACCAACCCCACTAAATAGGTATCGAGCAGAAGATTAGTGGAAAAGTATTATAAATGAAGTGACAACAAAATATAAAATATAATTTTCAAATCTAATTTAATTGCAGACAATTTAAAAAATAGCTTCGGGTCTCTATTATGCTATATCCGATTTCGGATCTGAGTGCGAACAATGCGCGATTAATGAATTATTATCGTTATACATACCTACGAACGTTATTATACTCTTACAATAATATTGATCATAATAATAATAATAATAATAATAATAATAATATTACAGTTATAAGAACTGCAATTTTGAACTCAAACCGGGGGCGCTCAGGAGTGCAAAAAATTACGAGAAGTGCAACTCAAAAAACCGAACGAAACAAAAATGTAATGTTGGAATTCAGTTTTCTGGACCGCACAATTATAGGTCGATACACATATAGTAGCTAATAATATACTGCTGTGTAACATACGTCATAATAATAATAATAATAATAATAATAATAATAATATAATCGTGTACTTACCTACTATTCGTGGGACGCGGGGTTTGAGTGACGGAGCAGCGTCGGATAGTGAATATATTATTTCGTACCAACAGACTAATGCCCACACGCAATAATCGTGATATATATTATGTTTACCTATGTATACGAATGATAAAATACAATAATCGCTTAAACCGCTTGCGATGATAATATATTGCTTTATGTTTTTATTATTTAAACGATGTCCCGAGACCATTATTGTGTCATTTCAAAAGCAGACTAATGCACTCACACATTCACACACTACATCTGACACAAATAAACACACACACACACACACACACCCACACATACTCGCCCGTATAGTCAATTATATTGAAAATATTTATGTTCACTAGCGCATATAAGTAATAATAATAATAATATAATATATATTATATTATATTATTATATTTATCCAATCCCCTTATTGGTGCAGAGTACAACAACGTCGAAAACACCGTTCGGGCGTTCCGATAATAATATACGTATAAAATATTACGTATAATACAATAATATAATAATAATAATAATAATAATAATAATAATAAGGATAATAATCGAATCTCTCCGTTGTCAACGACTATACGCTGCCGTCACAATGGATGGGAGGGTGCAGGGGAGGGATTGTGTAGTTATTAACTTTCTACCCCGAGAAAGCGAGAAAAAACGCTCGCGACCGATATCGGTTGAATGAAAAGAATAAAAAAAATATATATATATATTATATTCCCTTTAAAAAATATTATATATATATATATATATATAAATAATATTGCTTATACTGCAAATCCGTATATACCTATATGCAATATACAGCCGAACGTTGGCGAGATGGATGCGCGCGAACACATCACGCTCGCACGCGCGACACACATTTATATCCCGTGACGTGTTAAATCTAAAACGCATTTACATTTAAATGTCGGCGGCGGAGCGGTAAATAAAACTCGAGGAGGACGGAATAAAAAATATATAAAAAACTAAAAAAAAAAAAAAAAACCGTCGCGCCGAAAACAATATAATATGCGAGGGGAGGGGTGCAGCGCGCGGCAACAAAAGCGTGCACTTAACCCGTCTGTTGAATTTGACAGTTTTTATAGGAAAAGTTTGGCCGAACAAATTTTCGGAATAAATCGGCATAGTAACGCGTGTTTACGTGTGCGGGGTGGGGGGGGGAGGTAGCGAGTATGAGAGTGTCGTTGAGGGGGGTGGGGGTGGTGATCGAGAGGCGAGGGAAACCGAAAACTTTGTCCGCGCCCGCCCGATAAGAGCTTATCGCGGGCGCGAGTAGTCCCCCGACAAAAGCAGCCAGCGAGTGTGTACCTCCACAATATAAGACGACGCGTAATATATTATATTTATTTGTTTTTTTATTCGTTGTGTTTGTCGGGTATCGTTCGTCACACGAACCGCGGTCGTGGCCCGGCGGGCGCTTATCCGTTATACCGCTCCTATACCCGGTACCCGGTATAACATCATATACTTTGTGCGGTAACGGTGTTACGAATGTTTGTTCACTTGTTCCGGACGCGTCGTATGAGAAGCGTGAACCGCACCACACCGGCAGACAGTGGCGTGTTATGATATTACAATATCCGCGCGCGTATTACGACAGCGTAAACAATTTTCGGAGGTCGACAAACACACGCCCACCCGCATATTATGACGTACCTGCTGAGCGTATATTATTATTGTGATACAATATTAAATTATATACTCGACGCACCCACGCCACCGTCGTCGCATTCGTCGATATTGCACATGAAGCCTTTCGGGCATCGAACCGAACCGGCGCTTTTAAATAAATATTGATTTCGCACGCGGCAAACACATCATATATATAAACAAGAGGATAATATATTATTATTATTATTATTAT